CCGCGACATGAAAAACACAATAGGATGATGCTCCACAAACTACGGCACACGGAAGAGTCACGACACCACAACCGATAGCAACCGACCAGTTAATCGCCCGTACAGCCGAAACAGATTGGTAATCTGCTGGACACATCCCTCAACTCAAATCAACGCACATACTGACACTCGTAATAGTGAAGTGCTCAGCCCCCCTCAGCACCACGACGGGGTGCCGCCGCCGCCACAGCAGCACCAACACGAGCCTCGGGAAGAAGACAGCGGAGCCAGGCGCCTCTGCCACCCTAGGGAAGAACGATAAAGGGAAAACACAAGCGCGTCAGAGAACGTCCCAATTCCTAGAAACAGCGCACTTACCTCCTTTACCCGTCCGCGAGCCCATAACCTGAGCGGGTAGAAACCCACCGTACGAGCATCAGGCGAGCATGCGGTGGTGGGGCCCTGCATTGCAAAGTCCCGCTTCGCGCAAATAGCGACACGAACAACGGACGCGGAGGTGGGGCTGGCGAGTGGTGCGCTCTTGGCAGCTCCACCTAAGGGACTACTAAAAACGGACACCGGCGAGGCCTTGGCGCTTCTCAACCGTTCCTATCCTTCTCTATCTCACCTCCTATGCACCACCCGCCCTCCTGCGGAAAAACTGCTCCCTGGTGACAGACAGACAGTGCACTCCCGCGCAGGGAAGCGAGAGAGACCACTTCAGGCCACTACCAGGGAGACCACTTCCGCAATCCTGTGTTTTACGACATGCTACTGCAGGTTTTATTTGAAACCCTTGCACCCGTACCGCACCGTACGTTACTGTACGGAACCGCACCGTACCGTGTGGCATTCATATCCGCGGTACCGTGGCAGCAGTTGCCGGAAGGCGTCGTTGTGGAGCGATAGCGCGGCGTCCATTACCGCGACGGGCAGCGTTTCCCACAACGAGGTCATTAAACACAGGCACATACTGAGATACACAGCAATCATGCTTGGATGGCGGCTAGCAACGCTAATCCGGACTTTGTTTTAGGGCTGGACACCTTTCCTTAAGGGGTCTGCTCCGCTGCGCTTTGCTACTGTTGCTCCTGCTGTTGCTGTTGCTGCTGCTGCCACCAACCGCCAGCCAAGTACGACTGCATAATCACGCGATACGCGGCGCAGGAAAACACAATCGGCACGGCGATACGAAACATGTAGTACACGCCACGATACGGCACGGATCCATATCGCCGACTTACCGCATGTATCATCTGGAGGGTGCTTGCACCGTAGATACCGCCAAGCGCCGCCGGCCAAAAGGAGGGTACGCGGTTCGGGGAACAGGTGGGGCGGGTCGGGAGGGGATGGTATCGTTTGCTTTGCTACTGCTTTGCTGCTACTGCTGCTGTCGCAGCAGACCGCAGACATGATTGCACGGCAGACATGATTGCACGCTCCCAACAAAATGCGGAACTGAAAACCCTAAACAGTACGACCAACCGCAAAGCGCGAGGTATCTTGAAATCCAGGGGCTCATGCAAGGACTGCAGCTCGTGTAGCGCCCAATCGTTGCGCCCTCGGCATTGGTGTTGATATACGGCCGCCGCGCAGCCATAAGGACGCACCAGAGACAGGCGGGAGGACGGGGCAGGAGGATGCGCGGAGGGGAAGGAATAATCAGCAAGGTACGATGAGGTGGTTCATGAGGCCGTCTCGTTTGGGTTCACGAGCGAAAAGACATGCATAAAATCTTATCCATCACGCAATCCTACAGGTGTTTGCTTTGCCTTGTAACGATCACTGTCGCTGCTGCTGCTGCCGCTTCTGCTGCCAGCCGCCAGCCGAACACGATAGCAAGGAAACGTCCAACATGGCACCGGACAATACACCAGGCGCTGCACAGGGTACGACGAACTGCACTGCGAAGTGCAGTACAGCACGCAACGGCACTGGACGCAACGCCTACGTACCCCATCAAAGCCCACACTAAAGGTTGTCGAAATCATCAGTTCCTGCTTAACCTGTTTGCTTTGAACGCCTAGGCCCAGCATGTCATCTCCCCGTCGCTCCATGTCACCGAGCCCTAACATGGGACGAGACACGGACGAGACACGGAACATCGCACGCTGAAAGGTAGATGTAATTGTCGTCCTGCTCACAGCATTCATCACGCAGATCTTCCAGTTTCTGCCTGTAAGCGGGCAAACAGAAGCAATTGTGAGGACAAACTTTGCAATGTAGTCTTCCTGGTGCTGCTATCCAATTGCCTGATCCTTAATGCAATCAAAACATTTCATAGCTCATGCATTCTGGGAAGACAAGAGACGGACAACTCCAACTTCAACCGTCGAAGGCGCCTGGACGACCTAGGTGCATTACAGTCAAACCCACAAAAGCCTGAGCTATCCAGCTCCGAGCCGTATAAAGCAATAATATACGTGTCTAGAATGAAAATATCTAACTGTTGATATGAAGCTAATTTCGGGCATTTGAGTTTTGGCATGGTTCTGAGTCCTGGCTTCGGTTTTAGTTGCATGTGTTACACGCATCAGCCCTACAGGCATCGATTCAAACACATGTAAGCCTGGGCTTAGGAAGCGCAGAACGTAACCCCGACTCCCTGCGAACCTGAACCTATCGGCTATTGCAATTTGATCATGCCTTATCGACGCGAGGAGAAGCCCCAAGGGCCCACACACCAAAGCATCCGCCACCCACCAATTAAAGTAATTTCTACGTGCTGCACAATACGCACCCGGAAATCCAATGTACTCCCCGGGCTGAGGGACAACCTCGGCAGGTTTTCTGGTACGACAGCCAACCCCCAACTGCAACAATCGCCTCGGACCTCTTCCAATAGCTGAATTCGTGACGGTATTCTTCATTTATGCACCTCCTTGCCTCTACGGTATATGTTTAAATTTGAAACTGTAGTCAGCCCAACCTTACAGCAACGATACCGGCAGCGTCGCTGCGCAGCTCCGTTCTCCGTGTATTTTTCTCCGGGCAGCCTGAGGTGTGGTGCATCCTATATATACGCTTAATACGGTACTAGGAGTAGAAAAGCATCTACGTAGAAACGGGCCCGGAGCCCAGAAATGGAACGGGTCGCTGACGTCCCAGCACACGGCGAGTGCAATCGGGACCCTTCTGACTTTGCTCTTACCAATAAGAATCTTGTTTGTTGCTACGTGTGCCGCCTAATCAAGTCGCGCAACCAGGTGCGGTGTTTGTTGCGGTGGAGCGTTGAGGACGCTGCTCAGCCGATTCCCTTTTGCAGTTCCATGATTCGGGTTGTGACAACTGTAAAAATCTTTTTG